AAAAAAAACAGACAGCAAAACAAAACAAAATGGCCAGGGGAGCCGCTACAGCTTAGCCAATTACAGCAGCCCCCTTATTGGTCCTTTTGCTTGATACGCTCTGCGACGTAATCTCTTCTTTCGCCTGCTTTCTACGCCATCAGGATCAATTTCCCTGAGAAGAGTCATGATCCTCGCTCTTTTGACAATAATTCCCTTCATTCTGAGCCGTGCCCACATCTTGCGGTATCCCACAAAACAACCAACTCTACCAAGTTCCTTCTCGATGGCACTCAATTAATCATCAGAGACGAAACTTCTTCTTGATAATCCTTATAAGAGGTAAGCCTTCTCTTTTTAGTTGACAAGCTAATGTTTATGTCATGGAGCTTCAAAAATTCAAGTATTTCGAGGTTGTTGTAGCCTTGTTTGAAATACTACGATACAAGCTCCAAGGAATCTTCAGGACAACCATCACTTCCTCTCATACATGGTGTATATACTGGCAAAGGCATGTTCTACCTTACAAATTCAGTTGCACACAAAATGGCTGTGCTAAAATTTCCGCCTTTTTATCGGTCTGAGAGAGACTGGTAACGTCTCACAAGATTAAAACTAGATTGTAAAAAATTGAAACTGGACTGTGGGTAGAATAACACTAGACGGCAAAAAATTAAAACTGGACTGTGCAAAATTAAAACTGGACTGTGAAAATTAACACCGGACTGTGAAAATTAAAACTGGACTGTGAAAATTAAAACTGGACTGTGAAAATTAAAACTGGACTGTGAGCCTCCAGGGCCATCGTAAATTTCACTGCTTTAGTTGTGTGTATAACTGCGATGATCAATCATATTTTCATATCTTTCTACGCAGTTCAAATATATGGTCATTCATATATTCACTTATAGAATCTATTAGAGTTATGAATAATGCTCTGAAAATTGCATATGTAAATTACATCTCGTTCTGAATATCCAAATAAAGTTTAAAGAAACGTTAATCGACTCATGTGTGGTGTTTTTCGCCTTCCTGGGCCGTCTGAAGCGTCTTTTTACGAAATTATTTTTGGCCGCAGACCGGTAAGACAATCTTGTCTCACCGGTATCCGGCCAAAAGTAATTTCGTAGAAAGACGCTTCAGTCAGGAAGAAAGAAGAAGAAAGACTCAAGACTGTTACCTACAACATATTTAGATATCATTGGCTTCCCTGACTTGTGTCAAACCCCAGGCCGACCACAGCCCAAGGGATAAATTCAGGAATACAGGAGAATTGTATATGGAATCACCCATGCTAAAAGTTTAATTTAGGGCGTGGGAAAGCAAATTTGTTAAGGGGGCTTCACCTCATAACATTTCCCTAGGGAAAATCATGAAGATTGGTTCACCCAGTGAGTTTTACAATCCTCCAGATCAGCCTGCGGTCAATTGCAGAAGGAAGCTAATGATGTAAATATATATACATGATACACGTGTATAAATCAGTCAAACCTCTCTACAGTGACCATCCTGTGGACAGATAAAAGTGGCCGTTATAGAGAGGTGGCCATTATGCGGAGGCAGGGGTGTAATATGGCCGATGACAGAAATCAGATCGATCATGTGCCGATCCGAAGAAGATTTAGGAGATCGCCACTTGATGTCAGAACACAGCAAGGAGCAGACGCGGCAAGTGACCATCACCTTGTCCGATGCAAGATACGCCTGAAGCTGGCAAGGAACAGAAAGAAACAAATGTCAAGGACCATCTACGACAGTGCAAAGCTAAAAGATCCTTTGCACAAGCGGAACTTCAGCATAGCCCTGAAGAACCGCTTTGAGGCTCTAAACAGTGATCACCAAAGTGTGGATGGTGCATGAACAGGGTACAAAGACATCTATCACACGACGGCGACTGAAACACTTAGACAAAGAGCAAGGTCTCGGAAGTACTGGTTGAGCCCCTCCACCTGGAACTGTATCAAAGAACGACGGAAATTAAAACAGACCATTTTGAACTCCCGCTCGGAACGAGTGAGGGAAAACAGACAGCGGATGTACCAAACGAAAGACCAGGAAGTGAAAAAGAGAGCACGAGCAGACAAGAGGAAAGCCTTAGAGAGAGTCGCGGAAGAGGCGGAAAGAGCATCGCACCAAAACAATCTGAAAGAGCTCTACACCAAGACGAAGCTACTAAGTGGGTGTCTCAAGAAGCCAAGCACTGGAATATGGACGAAAGATGGTAAAGTCATCACCACAGAGGAAGAAGTGCTTGAAAGGTGGGAAGAGCACTTCTATGAGATCTTGAATGTGGCCTGTGAAGGAACTGATCCTCCTGAAGGGTGTCAGCTCGGTGACTGCGAAGATCCCATAGAGATGGGCACTGGCCCCTTTATAATCCAAGAACTGAGACAAGTCACATCTCGGCGGAAGAACGGTAAAGCACCCGGTGTGGATAACATAAGTGCAGAAATGCTAAAAGCCAGCCCAACAATTGCCCTGGACCAGCTTCTGAATATCTGCAATTAGACTCTTGATCCGGTGTAAAGCACCATCTGACTGGAAGAGAGCTCTCTTGGCCAAAATACCCAAGAAAGGTGACCCGTCTATTTGTGACAACTACCGAGGGATACCCATACTTTCAGTACCATACAAAGTCTTCTGCAGAATGCTCCTGATGAGGATGCAGGAAGGAGTCGAGAAGAAATTACGACAAGAACAGGCTGCCTACCGAAGAGGAAGAGGGGCAACTGAACAGATTTTCATCCTTAGGAATATCTTACAACAGAGTGCTGAATGGCAAACACCCTTGTACATTGGTTTCATCGATTTCAAGAAAGCCTTTGATAGTGTGAGAAGAGACAAGCTCTGGAACATTCTCAGGCATTATGTATCAACACCACCAAGACAAAGGTGCTACGAACAAACGCCAAGGTCACCGACACGATTTCCATTGATGGCTTAGGTCCAGTTCAGACGCCGAACTTTTCATGAGCCGAATTTAATTCGAATTTGGACCGACCCAAATTATCAAAAGTACTCCTGTTGATTCAGACGTCGAACTTAATTCACCGAACTTAATTTAGTTTGAACCAAAACACATCGAAACATCAGCGGTTTTCAGGCAAGGTGTATGCATTAGGTTCGGCACATGAAAAGTTCGACGTCTGAATTAAATCCGTTCGAAAGCCGAAATTCCCGGCTGAGCTAGGCGGGAAGAACGGCTGAGCCGTTCCAAATTCAAATAGCCGTTTTTAACTGATTCAGACGCCGAACTTTTCATGTACTTAATTCAACGTATTAGGTTCGGCTCATGAAAAGTTCGGCGTCTGAACTGGGCCTTAGAAGTGTAAAATGGGGTTGACTAGCCTACACGACTTCTACGGTTCATGACATTTGTACATTTGCCGTTCTCTGTTCTGTCACTCGACCTTTTTTGTCGCTTCACTCGTGTTTATGAAGGGCACTTCATGTGGTGTTATAAGGAGGAATGTTTAGTGGAGTTGAGCCTTTAGATCGTGCTATAGCAAATTTCTATAGGTCATAGGTCTGCATGATTTCCGCTGTTATCTGCATGTCGCTTCGTCGAGTTTGACACCTCTGTAATTTGCCATGTGTTTATGCATTGTTTTGGCTCGTTTCTATTGCAAGCTATATTTTTAAGTCCTCAAGTATTTGCTTTCAAGGGACAAAATACGAAATTTACCGTGAACATGTTGCTCACTTTCATTCTATTTTGTGACGAACAAGCACAAAGGTCACCGACATGATTTCCATTGATGGCTTAGAATTTGAAGACATCAACTCCTTCATCTACCTAAGTGCCACAGTCCTCGGAGCCGGTGGGTCACACGAAGACATCTCACGCAGGCTGTCAATCGCAAGAAGAGCATATGCCACTCTAAATCCTGTCTGGAGGTTTAAGACATACAGCAAGCACACCAAGCTGAGAATCTTCAAGAGCTGCGTGATCTCTATTCTCCTGTATGGCGCTGAGATGTGGAGAGTTACATCAACAGACATGGAGCGTCTGGATGTCTTCCATCGAAAATGCTTAAGAATCCTTGGCATATTTTGGCTGAACACCATCTCCAACCGTGAACTCTTTATGAAAGAGCTAGAGAGGGTCCCATCTCAGAAACGTTGAAGGTCAGACGATGGAGATGGATCGGTCACGTTTTGAGGAGAGAGAAAGATAACAACTGCAGAGTTGGCTCACCTGGACCCCTGGAGGCAAGAGAAGGCCCGACAGACCAAAGATCACTTGGAGGAGAACCATTGAAGCCGAACGGAAAGATCTGGGATGGACAAGTTGGAATGGGGTTGAGCAGATAGCTCAAGACCGTACGTGATGGATGGCACTTGTTGTTGCGTGGCCTTATGCTCCACTCACGAAGGGGCGAAGAGGATGAGTGAGTGAGTGAGTGAGTGAGTGAGTGAGGGGTGTAATATGACACCTGCTTTTTCAGGGGGTACAACATTTTGATATTAGAAAACAGTCCTAAGAAAATATGCGCGCTGACTGGTTAAAAATCGTCTTCTATAACTCGATAGAAACACAGAACTACACGCAATGATGGCGCGAGCAGAGATAAATTTACACTTTGATACTCACTATCTATCACAGAATGGATAGTGAGTAGCGTAGCCAATCAGAAAACGACATTCGTGATAGAACGCTAGTAGATTTTTACTAAACCTCGATAGAAACACGGGACATGTTTTCTATTTCTTAATTAAAAATATTGCTTTGCTATTGTACCAGTGACATGTGGTACAGATCAAGTTTTGTGTCCTTTTACAATGTAAAATGGGGTTTTGTAAATACCATCTGTCAGTCATTGATTAGCTGGCCATTGTAGAGAGGCTATTTTGGTAGTTTGAGACCTGCTTTAGTGGTCATTGCTGTTGTGGAGAGGTGGCGGTTGTAGAGAGGTTGAAATAAAAGTGAATGTATGGACCATCTGCCAGGGCAAAAAAAGTGGCCGTTGTAGAGAGCTGGTGTGGCGTTATGTAATGTGTCACGTTATGTAACCGAGTGTGTGACATTATGACGTCAACAAAATCACGTAATATGCGAGAGTCCCGGCGACCTCGTGCGAGATATGTTTTTGTACGTTACTTTTACAGTCGGCCGACATATTGTATGACTGTGGGTGTTCATAGTCGGTCGGATTATTAACTGGTTCCAGCACAATAAAGGACAATTCGCTATTTAAAGCGGACAACACTGGCCATTGTAGGGAGGTGGCTGTTAGTGGAGGTTTGACTGTAATAATGTTACACATTATGTTACTTATTAATTTTTTGCTGAATGATTTGACACTGTATGGAAGTCTTGAGATGACATCTCTGCTGTAACGTTGTGACAAGTGCTTAGAAATAAATTTGCATTATATTGATTTGCTCAGGCTTGTCATGACCAGTTACTGTTTGGAAAAGAGGTCACACGTGACAAATGAAGAGAGCAAAAATTAGTGTGTGATGCATGGAGAGTTATTGATTTAAACAACATGATTTGTGGATTTCTGAATAAATAATAGGCTCGATTACCAGCTACTGTTCGGGAATGAGCCCACACTCCTCTCACGTAGGCGAGCAATGCAGACCAGACTCAAGAGAGTGGCAGAAATCAAGGCTATGAATAAATCTACTGTTTTTTCTTTATAAATATATCTAATTCATAGGCATTGAGATGAAACAATGTCTTTGCTGCATCTTCATATTATTTTCTCCTATATCTCAGCTTTATACAGGTGTCTTGAGATGATGTCTTTACAGTGGCTTTGGAGTGAAGCCACATCCCATGTGGTTAAGTAATATCCCCATACAATGAATGGAATGAGAGAAACAGCTACTGTGGCAGTCCAGAAATATGCAGTTGTTTCACTAGACCTAAAATGTAGAAGAGATATATGCAGTAAATTGTGTTAGTTATATATTTTGTTTTTCCCAACCAGAATTATGCTCAGGTCCCTGAGTTGGTCCAGAGGCCAATAATAGTTTGCTGTAGTAGTCCTAGACTACCTTTTCTGTGTATGAAACCCTAGTGTGTGACCAATCAGTTGACAGCGTTTGAGCAGAACACTCAAGTGGTACTGATTCCTACTTACTTTAATTAGACATCATTGATAAAAACACACATCTTTGATAACCCGTTCACATCTGAGAATGGTCAAGGTCAGAGAAAACTGAGACAAACTTGAATAATGTTGTCAGAAAACTACTGAAATGAATTTCTTGCTGCTGTGACTTGCCCAATGTGTCAAGCCTTACATCTGAAGATCTCACTTAGAGTGTCTGAAGTTGTAGTGATCTTTATTTACCTTTTCAGTCTTGTCAGCAAGCATAGCCCCAACCAGGCTACAATGATCAAGAGCCCTGCTATTTCTCTGCCGAAGAAAACAATTTTGTTCAAGTATAGTTTCACCCCCATAATTAAAAAAGCTTAAGTCCTTTAAGACTGCATTGATATTCTATAAATTTTACAATGACTCAGGAATTTCATCATGTCAGTTGATACACAAAGAAGCATTGATTTTCATGTAAATTGCTCCAAAAATAAAATTCTTGATCCCCAAATGATGGGTCATACCCATGTTCCTCTAAATATCAGTTAGCCGTGTACTAAATATAGTGACTGAGCTCATTAAGCGAGGCCAATACAAGGTCGTGATCTACCATAGTTTCTTGTCTGTGACACATGATGAAATGATAAATGTAGAATCATAATGATCAATTAGTGGAATTAAGGTGACTTGGTTGAAATATCAAGATAAAAAACAACCCCTAGTCCAATAAAAAAAAAATTGAAATTGCTCCCTATGGAAACTCTGAAATTTAAAACGTAATAGAGAAACTATTTTAAGAGATGATATGAAACAATATTGAGAAAACAATCATATTGATGATTGGCAATTAAAGTGTTCAATATGTCTAATGGCATCACAAGGACTGATGATGACAACGACAATGATCATGATGATGATAGACGGAACATCATAAATCATGAGAAACCTAAACTAAATTAACTACCAGTATAAAGTGAAAACAATTAGCTTCAGTTTCCAAATGTGACATTCAAATAGCACTTGCACAAATCTGTAAAAATTAATTGTTTTCAACTTGCACAAATTTGTTAACTGTTGATTGAGATTTATTGACATGCAAAAAATTGAATTTTCTTCATTCAAATTATACTAATTGAGACAGTACAGTACTCACCTTCCTTCTTCATAATTCAGCAGATTTTTAGAACTGATCTCAGCTCTAATCAAGACAGTTATTGAGTAAAACACACCCAAAATGCAGACACCAACATGAGTGACAGCTGTCAGCTTCCACAAGAGGTGATCTTCAAAATATAAATGATCAATATACTGTCAGTAAATTATGTTAAGTTATTATTGATTTGGTGATACTCATACAGAATTTGAAGTCTTAAATTCTGTTTACAACGGGTAATGTGTGAGACAGACTAGCATTTTGTTTGTAAGACTGAGACGTTTTCAAATCTCAGCACTACATACTAGTGTAAAGTCTTTCTCTCATTCTTTCCCACCTTTCTATTTTATTTACTTTTTGTTAATTTTGTAATGTATTTATAAATAAGAATGTTTGTAATTAGGCTACTGGCCCACCTAGACTGGAACTGGCCATCTTTTGGGTAGGCCAATTGTAACAAGGTTGTTTGTAAATAAAGATGATAATGATGATGATGATGACTTTTTTAAAAAGTAAAATTAAAAATTGCAAGACCAATGATAAAATCAATACACCTACCCCGACAGATGGGCATGTTTTTTAACCCCACCCCTCCCACCCGGATTTCCTGAACTAATATAATAGCGATGGTGCAAGCATCCAACACATTGTCAACTTAGCAGGCAGTTAAGCAAAAAGCAAAAAGAAAATTAGTGACAGAGGCTTCATGCTAATTATATAATGGCTACCAAATTAATAGTTTAAAACTAACATCTTAGGTATGAAGGGTTATACCTAATAAACCATTAATAACAGTCACTTTGCTTTGCTACCTTGTAATGATGAATCAATAGCTAAAGTGACGCATAGTGAAGAAGGAATAGCATACATCAACTGCAAAATAAACATAGTGCAAAATTTCTTCAAATTTGTCATAAATTTTCAAAGGTAACACATGCATACATAACTTTATTTATACTCAGGTTGGTGAGGCTGATTAGGCCTCTATCAATAGAGTATGCTAGTTTGCAGAAGGTAATAAATTATTAACTAAAAATAAAGAAAAATGGTTTAAAATATACACAATATATAAATTTAGGAAATATCATTTATGAAACAAAATTAATGAATAATTTGCACTTAGGCAAAAGGCAAAGGACTTGCTACAGTAACAGATCTGTTCTGAAGTTCTTAAACAATTTAAAAAATTTAAATTGGAATGATTTATAAACTTACCACCCATATTACAGGATCAGGATCGTTCGTCTGTCGAAGGGAAAGGAGAAATGTAAAAATAAGATAGGGCAGTTTTCAATTGAGTGTGCTCTATCCAACAATACAAATTAAAACCAATTTCAGTAGTACCTTAAAAAAAAAATGGTGTCTCAGCTAGTCCGTTACGCCGAGTAGTACAGCCAACATTACTGTTTATAAATTTGCAAGTTGAAGAGGGTTGTGGTTGTGCAATTTAATTATCATCTTGCAAGTTGTAGCAATGTTGCAGAAAGTATACAAGTAAGTTGCTGCAACTTGCAGCGCAGGTGGTAAATGACTATAATGAGCACAACATTGCTGTGCGTCGCAATATCTTCAATTTTCTTCAATGTGCCCCCATTATCCCTCTCCGCACCTCTCTCCTCCACCTCATCCCAAATCTAAATCAGGCTTGATGTCCAATACCTTCTATCCGATTCCTGAACTCGACCAGCCACCTAAATACATTCACAAAATATTTTTTTTTTGTGAACGCAAGTCATCATCTTCTTTGACTCGACTTCTACTCTAATTTTAGAAGCCGTCTCAATTATTAACAATACCACAGCTAGATTATGTGAGAGAGAGTTCAACGGATCAATTGACACACTCGGGATAAAATTCCTCATTTTGTGTTGACATACGAATACACTCACCTGAACATAAGCAGCTAAAGAAAAAAACACGGCCATGAAAACATTAGCGATTCGCCACGTCCACGGATGGCAAATCTTGACTAATAATTGATGATTATCCTGGACGGGTATTGTACTGCATTCGGCCATTATTTGTCGCGATTAACTGCTCGATCTGAGGAACTGTGACGACCGTGAAAAAGAGAATATAAGGTACTTGAAGACGGAGACTGAAAAAACGAAAACATTTAACATACGCTGTGCTTTTAGATTAAAACTTAACTGAGACTAATTTATGTGTGACTTGAATCAACACTGAACAAGACTATTTACTCGCTTCGCATATCTGATTATCGAAATAAAAATACTATAGTTTCGGCTATTGTCTTACCTGCTTACCCACACTGTGCTGCAAATGATACCGGGAAATGATCTTACTGATCCATTAAAACCGGAGAAATGTTTCAATTTACACACAAACTGATATGCGAGCTTTCTTTAATCCTTTGGGGTTCCTTTGGTTTCATTAAAATATTCCGTTTCCAAGCGATCGATTTTGAGACCAGTCACGCATTCATCATGAATTAATTTAATCAATATAAATTAGTGATTGTTCAATATAAACAATGATATTTAAACTTCACCTTTGGTCTGCAGAAAAAGCATTATAAATTTGTAACGTTCTTTGCCAAGACATTGGCTCTTTCGTGTTAAAAAGTCTATTATGGAACCCATTTCGAAGCATCAGTTATTTAAACGGGAAGTAATGAGTAGACAAGTATGGGTTAATTTCACGCGTGTTTTGTCAAAATTCTAATAATTTTCCAAGCCTTTTATAGGCGAGGGAAATTGTTAGAATTTTGAGAAAACGCAAGTGAAATTATTTCTTATTTTCATGGGTACACAAATTACGCTTGCAATCGTGGGTTTTTGACTTGATTATTTCGCGCCGAATTTTGTAATTTCAAATGTGAAATTATACATAAACGCTGAAATGTCGGACCAAAATTAAGGAGTACTTTGTCACCCATGTTATTATGAAACAATATCAACTTTCAATTAAAATTTTAATTTCGCTTGAAACAATATCACCTTTCAATTAAAATTTTAATTTCGCATGTCACGGTTTTGTTTTATTTATAACAATATGTTGGCTACCGTTTAGATCAGACCATTTTCAGTACCTCACTACCCGTCTCGTATATGTATCGTCCCAAACCGCCAGGCCTTGTAATTTTGAAAACAGTATATATTTCTTGCCAGCATATAGCCCGCGAACAGGCTCCCGGCGAGGACGGAAAAAAATTTCGGCGAGCGCGAAACAGAAGAATTCGGAGAGCAAAGCGATCGGGGCGGGGAGCTCACCGCGCTCACCGGGAGCCTGTTCGCAGGCTAGCCAGCATACGGGTGTACCAAGAAGAAATTCATGTACACGATCACTGCCGAAAACAAATTCCACGCACCTTCATTTTGCCAAAAAAACCCAGACAGGTTACATGGAAATATGCATATAGACGTCCCGAGGAAAAATGCCTATACCCAGGGCTTGCTGATATACCCAAACCCGGGACCCAAATCACCCACTCCCGTCAAAAGTCAAACGAATAGCCGGCGGTCCTAAATGGCACGAGGAAAAGATGGCTTTGGAGACACATGGTTTGAGATTAGTAATGGTAATAGGACTGAGTGGAGTCCAATTCGATCTGTTATCATAAGAGTGATGACAAAATCGGACGACCGCGCAGCAGGAGTCCGATTTGTTTATCACGAGTATGATTACAGACCGAATTGGACGACACGAAGTCTTCTTACCAATTAATCATAAAAATTACAATTACCGAGAAGAGAAGAATAGCCAAGTTATGAAAGAAAGGGAAAATTTGCATTAAAATAACTACAAAGGAGATGTAAATATTCTAAGGCCACCGCGCCAAACACGCAAAAGCAAGCGCGCGCACGCACGCACGTAACTACAACTTTGAATGTGATTGGTTGACTTAAACTACAACTTTGAATGTGATTGGCTCATTGAACTGTCCGATAACAAACTGTCCAATAACAAACTACAGTCTTCCGCAAGAAATTGTTTGCTTATTTTTGCGATAAGTTCAGTGCTAATTTTTTATCGTGATTATCTTATTTTTTAATATGAGTTTAGAATAATTTTTAACTAGGTATACAATCATACAATGATACACTAAGGCGGCTTATATTAAGGAATCTTGTATTCTGTTTTAAGTTCTCCTCAAATTCATTGGATGGACTTGTCCAATGTAATGTAATTTGGAATTTGTATTAAAGATTAAAGATTAAACTGTCCGATAACAACTTGGCAAGTGAATTAGTGGAGAATAGGAGTTTTTTAAGCCGATCACAATCGAGGAAATTGTAATTTTTATGATTAGGATAATGATAATAAAATATCTTTAGCTAGGAGGCAACCTCACCCACGGTGGTTTTCAGGCTGGTCCTGAGTAAAAATCGTAGATATACAAATTGTCAAGTTGAAAGTTTAAAAAGTATACAAACGTACACAATAAAGTCCCAAGGTAGAGTCAATAAAATAATAAAATTTGATAAAATGTGTACCCAAGCTTCTGAAAAAAACTCTAGGCTATTTACATCTCTTGTAGTCTCTGGGATAGTGTTCCACTCGTGTATCGCTCGATAAGTCAGTCTTTGGCCCCACTGGCACCGAGATTTGCCGGGCATTTTAATGTTGTCTTTGTGTCTGGTGTAAAAGAGTGGATTTCTCCCAGTGTGTAAAATTAAATTTCCGGTCAATCAGCCCATACATGCATTTAAATACAAAAGAAAAGCGATGTTGCGATCGCCTATCCGACAAAACTAGCCAATTAGGATTGAAGATGACGCCTTTGTTTCTGAGATTTCTCCTTGGCTTTAAAATCTACTCGGTTGTGAAAAACATATGTCATGAAATAAATAAAAAAACGTAAAGAGTGTTTCGTGAAAATTTCGAAGCAACTCAAAGTTAGTCAGTGATACTCTACCTCACTTTAATCTTTAATCTTTAATACAAATTCCAAATTACATAACATTGAACAAGTCAATCCAATGAATTTGGGGACAGCTTAAAACAAAACTTCGCATTTTCAGCCATCGCTACAGTTGAAGACATAAGAGCTGGCCAGTTTTAATGCATACCCGCGAAAATTGTTTGTAAACCGCTGATTCTCAAGCCTCCTTTTTGGGCTCATATGCTGCTGATTATATACAATAATGATACATACACGGATGCAGTTTCTTGCAGTAGAGAAACCGCTGAACAGGGATATTGTAGTAGTTAGTAATCAGTGGTAAGGAAAACTGACTTGAAAAAACGGTCGATAAAACCGTGACCATCTCTCGCGGAATATTGGAGCAAAGACGGATGAAATATTGCGGTCTAAAGACAGCCGAGTTTTTCATTTTGGTATGGGCTGCTGCCCTGTATTTGCTGGATACTTTTTCATTGGTTTTAAATGCAACAACCAGGTATCAAAATGATGATAGAGCTGCAAAACATGAGGTGAGTCTGTTACATAAGCTTATAGTTTTTACCTGTTTTTTTACCTACACATTTTTACCTTTGCTAATTTTTCATAAAATATTTTATTAAATATTTCAATCACAATGCATTTACGTTCGCCTCCATGTTCGAACAGCCGTAGGGTGATATAATTGCGGGCTTAAATGTTCAAAAAGCTATTCAAATGGCCATTAGAAATAGTGAAATCCGTTCTTCTGTTTTGATTAGATGAGAATTTGCCGGCTGTGAGTGATTTTGTGTGTATTTACCCAGGGAATAACCAGTCACATAGATATTCCATTTTCAAAAATGAATATTTATAAGTGTGNAGTTTCTTGTCTGTGACACATGATGAAATGATAAATGTAGAATCATAATGATCAATTAGTGGAATTAAGGTGACTTGGTTGAAATATCAAGATAAAAAACAACCCCTAGTCCAATAAAAAAAAAATTGAAATTGCTCCCTATGGAAACTCTGAAATTTAAAACGTAATAGAGAAACTATTTTAAGAGATGATATGAAACAATATTGAGAAAACAATCATATTGATGATTGGCAATTAAAGTGTTCAATATGTCTAATGGCATGACAAGGACTGATGATGACAACGACAATGATCATGATGATGATAGACGGAACATCATAAATCATGAGAAACCTAAACTAAATTAACTACCAGTATAAAGTGAAAACAATTAGCTTCAGTTTCCAAATGTGACATTCAAATAGCACTTGCACAAATCTGTAAAAATTAATTGTTTTCAACTTGCACAAATTTGTTAACTGTTGATTGAGATTTATTGACATGCAAAAAATTGAATTTTCTTCATTCAAATTATACTAATTGAGACAGTACAGTACTCACCTTCCTTCTTCATAATTCAGCAGATTTTTAGAACTGATCTCAGCTCTAATCAAGACAGTTATTGAGTAAAACACACCCAAAATGCAGACACCAACATGAGTGACAGCTGTCAGCTTCCACAAGAGGTGATCTTCAAAATATAAATGATCAATATACTGTCAGTAAATTATGTTAAGTTATTATTGATTTGGTGATACTCATACAGAATTTGAAGTCTTAAATTCTGTTTACAACGGGTAATGTGTGAGACAGACTAGCATTTTGTTTGTAAGACTGAGACGTTTTCAAATCTCAGCACTACATACTAGTGTAAAGTCTTTCTCTCATTCTTTCCCACCTTTCTATTTTATTTACTTTTTGTTAATTTTGTAATGTATTTATAAATAAGAATGTTTGTAATTAGGCTACTGGCCCACCTAGACTGGAACTGGCCATCTTTTGGGTAGGCCAATTGTAACAAGGTTGTTTGTAAATAAAGATGATAATGATGATGATGATGACTTTTTTAAAAAGTAAAATTAAAAATTGCAAGACCAATGATAAAATCAATACACCTACCCCGACAGATGGGCATGTTTTTTAACCCCACCCCTCCCACCCGGATTTCCTGAACTAATATAATAGCGATGGTGCAAGCATCCAACACATTGTCAACTTAGCAGGCAGTTAAGCAAAAAGCAAAAAGAAAATTAGTGACAGAGGCTTCATGCTAATTATATAATGGCTACCAAATTAATAGTTTAAAACTAACATCTTAGGTATGAAGGGTTATACCTAATAAACCATTAATAACAGTCACTTTGCTTTGCTACCTTGTAATGATGAATCAATAGCTAAAGTGACGCATAGTGAAGAAGGAATAGCATACATCAACTGCAAAATAAACATAGTGCAAAATTTCTTCAAATTTGTCATAAATTTTCAAAGGTAACACATGCATACATAACTTTATTTATACTCAGGTTGGTGAGGCTGATTAGGCCTCTATCAATAGAGTATGCTAGTTTGCAGAAGGTAATAAATTATTAACTAAAAATAAAGAAAAATGGTTTAAAATATACACAATATATAAATTTAGGAAATATCATTTATGAAACAAAATTAATGAATAATTTGCACTTAGGCAAAAGGCAAAGGACTTGCTACAGTAACAGATCTGTTCTGAAGTTCTTAAACAATTTAAAAAATTTAAATTGGAATGATTTATAAACTTACCACCCATATTACAGGATCAGGATCGTTCGTCTGTCGAAGGGAAAGGAGAAATGTAAAAATAAGATAGGGCAGTTTTCAATTGAGTGTGCTCTATCCAACAATACAAATTAAAACCAATTTCAGTAGTACCTTAAAAAAAAAATGGTGTCTCAGCTAGTCCGTTACGCCGAGTAGTACAGCCAACATTACTGTTTATAAATTTGCAAGTTGAAGAGGGTTGTGGTTGTGCAATTTAATTATCATCTTGCAAGTTGTAGCAATGTTGCAGAAAGTATACAAGTAAGTTGCTGCAACTTGCAGCGCAGGTGGTAAATGACTATAATGAGCACAACATTGCTGTGCGTCGCAATATCTTCAATTTTCTTCAATGTGCCCCCATTATCCCTCTCCGCACCTCTCTCCTCCACCTCATCCCAAATCTAAATCAGGCTTGATGTCCAATACCTTCTATCCGATTCCTGAACTCGACCAGCCACCTAAATACATTCACAAAATATTTTTTTTTTGTGAACGCAAGTCATCATCTTCTTTGACTCGACTTCTACTCTAATTTTAGAAGCCGTCTCAATTATTAACAATACCACAGCTAGATTATGTGAGAGAGAGTTCAACGGATCAATTGACACACTCGGGATAAAATTCCTCATTTTGTGTTGACATACGAATACACTCACCTGAACATAAGCAGCTAAAGAAAAAAACACGGCCATGAAAACATTAGCGATTCGCCACGTCCACGGATGGCAAATCTTGACTAATAATTGATGATTATCCTGGACGGGTATTGTACTGCATTCGGCCATTATTTGTCGCGATTAACTGCTCGATCTGAGGAACTGTGACGACCGTGAAAAAGAGAATATAAGGTACTTGAAGACGGAGACTGAAAAAACGAAAACATTTAACATACGCTGTGCTTTTAGATTAAAACTTAACTGAGACTAATTTATGTGTGACTTGAATCAACACTGAACAAGACTATTTACTCGCTTCGCATATCTGATTATCGAAATAAAAATACTATAGTTTCGGCTATTGTCTTACCTGCTTACCCACACTGTGCTGCAAATGATACCGGGAAATGATCTTACTGATCCATTAAAACCGGAGAAATGTTTCAATTTACACACAAACTGATATGCGAGCTTTCTTTAATCCTTTGGGGTTCCTTTGGTTTCATTAAAATATTCCGTTTCCAAGCGATCGATTTTGAGACCAGTCACGCATTCATCATGAATTAATTTAATCAATATAAATTAGTGATTGTTCAATATAAACAATGATATTTAAACTTCACCTTTGGTCTGCAGAAAAAGCATTATAAATTTGTAACGTTCTTTGCCAAGACATTGGCTCTTTCGTGTTAAAAAGTCTATTATGGAACCCATTTCGAAGCATCAGTTATTTAAACGGGAAGTAATGAGTAGACAAGTATGGGTTAATTTCACGCGTGTTTTGTCAAAATTCTAATAATTTTCCAAGCCTTTTATAGGCGAGGGAAATTGTTAGAATTTTGAGAAAACGCAAGTGAAATTATTTCTTATTTTCATGGGTACACAAATTACGCTTGCAATCGTGGGTTTTTGACTTGATTATTTCGCGCCGAATTTTGTAATTTCAAATGTGAAATTATACATAAACGCTGAAATGTCGGACCAAAATTAAGGAGTACTTTGTCACCCATGTTATTATGAAACAATATCAACTTTCAATTAAAATTTTAATTTCGCTTGAAACAATATCACCTTTCAATTAAAATTTTAATTTCGCATGTCACGGTTTTGTTTTATTTATAACAATATGTTGGCTACCGTTTAGATCAGACCATTTTCAGTACCTCACTACCCGTCTCGTATATGTATCGTCCCAAACCGCCAGGCCTTGTAATTTTGAAAACAGTATATATTTCTTGCCAGCATATAGCCCGCGAACAGGCTCCCGGCGAGGACGGAAAAAAATTTCGGCGAGCGCGCAACAGAAGAATTCGGAGAGCAAAGCGATCGGGGCGGGGAGCTCACCGCGCTCACCGGGAGCCTGTTCGCAGGCTAGCCAGCATACGGGTGTACCAAGAAGAAATTCATGTACACGATCACTGCCGAAAACAAATTCCACGCACCTTCATTTTGCCAAAAAAACCCAGACAGGTTACATGGAAATATGCATATAGACGTCCCGAGGAAAAATGCCTATACCCAGGGCTTGCTGATATACCCAAACCCGGGACCCAAATCACCCACTCCCGTCAAAAGTCAAACGAATAGCCGGCGGTCCTAAATGGCACGAGGAAAAGATGGCTTTGGAGACACATGGTTTGAGATTAGTAATGGTAATAGGACTGAGTGGAGTCCAATTCGATCTGTTATCATAAGAGTGATGACAAAATCGGACGACCGCGCAGCAGGAGTCCGATTTGTTTATCACGAGTATGATTACAGACCGAATTGGACGACACCAACTCTTATTAACCGCGCGGCCATGGGCCGAGCGCGGTTCTAGGTTTACCCGTGGTTTATTNGAGTTTGTGTTGATCAAGTGCTGTGATGTCTACAGTAATCAATGAATCATCAAAGATTGCTTTGGAATATGCACTGCGGTGCGACTGTAGTACTAAGAAAACAGTTAAATTTTAAAAGCGCGGTTATAAGATCTAACAGATCTTCTTGTTACCAATTAATGATAAGAGCTCATAGGGGACCATGGGGACCATGTGTTGTTGGGGTTGGCCCCAGTCCCCTAGTAGGTAACACAACAAAACATCTCCCTCCCCACTCCACAGGAGAAGATCAGGACCTGCATCTCCGGGAACAGAACGCAATATATATATTTCCCTTGTTATAAAACGTCTTGACCGAGTGGAACGCAAAACAATATCTATTTAAAATTCCCTCCTTCCAAAGCGTGTTGCCAGAGTGGAACTGAAAGCAATGTAAATTTCGCTCGTTCTAAAACGCGATGCCCGAGTAGAACTGAAAGCAATGTATAATACCCCTCGTCGTAAAAGCATGTTCTCCGAGCAGAACGGAAAGCAATATATATTTCCCTCGTTCTAAAGCGTGTTGCCCGAGTGGAACAGAAAGCAAAGTATCATTTCCCTCGTTCTAGAAGCGTGTACGGTACTAAAAACGTGTCGCCTGAGTGGAACAGAAAGTAATATACACTTCCCGCGTTTTAAAGCGTGTTACCCGAGTGGAAGGGAAAGCAATGTATATTTCCCTTGTTCTGTTACCCGAGTGGAAGGGAAAAAATATTTCACATGTGTAGACATTTCCCCTTGGTCAGAATCGCCACTTTCGCCAAATTCGTCGACTTTTTGGGGCCCTTCTAGTGAAGTTATTCTATTTACTCGCATAACTTTGTCAAAAACCTTGGCGAAATTTTGTCAGAATCGTCACTTCCACCCAAATTTCCACAAATTCACAAATTTTGCCAAATCCGTCAAAATCGTCAACAAAATTTCGTCAAATCTGCCATTGTCGTTACTGCCTGCATTTCTGGACATATCTCGGATTACTAGGGCACGGATCAGTGGTGTGCTTGTCCGCAATAGAAGGTACTTAAAGCTGGTAAACTAACAATGTACCTTTTCCACGTGCTTTGTTGATATTTTGCCTGTGATCTCCTTTGGATGGATCTCGGGAAACACGCTTTAAAATGAGTGAAACATATATTGCTTTCCGGCGTTCTTCTTGGGTAACACGCTTTTAGAACGTTGTACTATACATTGCCGTTCTGCTCGGGCAACATTGCGTCAGTTTTTCATGCGTCTGTCCTGTTATTGATCATGAATTTCGTCATAATATTGTCAAAGCAGCTGTGGATCCGTAGACTACTTTGACAATGTTGTGACGAAATTCATTGTCAATAACGGGACAGACGCATGAAAAACTGACATCAATTTGTTTTTTACGATAACAAGTTGTCAAATTCTCCGCTCTCGCTCGTTGACGTATCGCAGTATAAATTCGTGTGTCTATCAGCTAAACGACAACAAAAAAAAATAGCCAATGAGCGCACGAGAATTTCTGCAGTTATCGTAAAAATTGCTTTCCGTTCCACTCGGGTTACGCGATTTTACGATGGAAATGATACATTGCTTTCTGTTCCACTCTAAAAATACGCTTTAGAACGAGGGAGATACATTTCAGGCTTTCTGTTCCACGCGGGCAACACGCTTTAGAACGAGGTATTCTGCTTGGGCAACACGCTTTTAGAACGAGGGAAATATACATTGCTTTCTGCTCCACTCTGGTAACTCATGATGTAATTTGCATAAAAATCGCCAAAATCGTCAAATTCGCCAACTTCTTAGGCCCATCTCTGGTGATGTCATTTGCAAAAAGTCGTCAGTTTGACGAGATTTCGTCAAATCTGCCATTTTCGTTACTGCCTGCATTTCAGGACATAGGTGAGTAATCCAAGTAGGTAACACAACGTACGGAATATTGCGTGCCACAAGTGTCCCAAAAATCCGCACGACCCTAGCCGGCAGAACAAGCGATTAGCGGGCAGAGAGAGAAACGCGCGCTCGTGATCGCGCTTCGCGCTCGTGTAGCGCGTTTTGCTCTCTGCCCCGCTAATCTGCCTGTTCTACAGGCTAACAAACTATCTCTTCCCGTGTTATTTGCTTCAGTATCGCTCCAATTGTTTTGTGAAGAAACCGTATCACTGTTGTGTCTGTTGTGTCTTGTGAAGTTATAATTTCTAATTTTCACGGTTTTTGTGTTCCGCTTGTTAATTAAATAACTACGAAAACCCTCAATTTTCGACTTAAAAAGCTAAGAAAAAGCACAGAATAGATGGTGAGTAGGGTAGTCAATCAGAGAACGGCATTCGTGATACAACGCTAGTATATTTATACTAAAACTCGATATACATCCAGTTAACAACGTTTATAACATAGCCTTAGCGAAGCGCACGTTCTGATTGGCTAATACGCTCGATCCATTCGTCCGTGGGTTGACTTTTTAGATTTAGCCAAGCCTAAAAGCGGTGCTCCTGATTGCAATAATTAACCATAAAGGAAAAAGAAGATTTTTTTTTCGTGGATCAGAAGCTCAAAACTGATCAATTGTTAGCATGTAATTGTTTAGCGTGTGGTTTCACTATTTTTTCCAGTTAAATTTTAGTTTAACAAACTATACCCAATAAGTGTACCCAAGATTGTAGAAATTACGTAAGCACTATTATTTCACAGGTACTGAGATTTACCCACGAAAATCATAGTGAATAAAATTCGTACTGAACGACAAAAATTCATAGTGAAAAGATATCGTTCGTCCAATCAGTAACAATAACGACGAACTTTCACCAATGAGGAATAAACGTACTGAAGAGAACGTCATCCGAGAGCCGTCGCACAAAATCCCGCACGCTTTGAAACATGCTTCTGTTTGCTCAGTTGAAGAAATTATTTTAGAACAAGAAAACAAAAATACCGCTCCAAAAACTGAACGAGCCGGTAAGATTGCTTGAAAGATTTTTGAAAACGAAGGACGAAAACAGGAAAATTGAAGACATGTCAGCCGTTGAACTGAATGAATACATTCTTCAATTTATCATCTCCGTCCGCACTTAAGATGGCACCGAGTGCGAGCTTCGACGTTCAATTGCCAGCTTCGAACGACACTTGTAGAAAAAGGGCTATTCTGCCAGCATAATCAACGACTTGGTCTTCGAGAAAACCAGAAAAGTTCTTCAATCCAAGCAAAGAATTTGAAGAGCATAGAAAACTACAGCAATGTTTCAACGAAATAACAGATGCACATGTCAAAAGTGGAAAGCAATGTGGTGGCTGGTACCTCAGCTTCGTCCGCGTCTCATTCAGCCTGTCCGTCGTCCTCCGACTCCCAGAATACCGGTAAGCAGTCCATGACATTGTTCAGCGGAGCTGTTCTTCAAGATGGTAATTTTTCCATCCACATCAACACGATAAATCAGTCTCCGACGCTTGCCACAAATCCGTCAAGTCCCGAAGCGGTGAGATGGAAAAAAGTGAGGCTTTAGAACTGGAAAGTGACTCTGACGATAACTAAATACGGACTTATTTTCAAGACACTACATAGTTTATTGGCATGGCTTCCTTTAGTAATAGACATTTGACTTTATTGATATATGATGAACACAGTAAGCGTTGTAAATTTTGTAAGCCTTCATTAACTAAGTTGTTGAGCGACTTTTTGTAACTATTTTTACG